TACGTCATCGTTGGGACCACACGTAAGTGTGAGTAACGATCCAAGAGCAAGTCTTATCCGACTCTATTCTGAAGATATCCCGGACGTCAGTCTGAGCGAGATTAGAATGGCTCTCCAGCACCTTTAAAACGTCAAGTCCCCTGGCGAGGATGGAATTACAGCAGAGCTTCTGAAAGCTGGTGGAAAACCGGTACTTAATGTACTTCAGAAGCTCTTCAATTCCGTCCTCCATGGTGGCACTACTCCGGATGTGTGGAGCAGAAGTGCGGTGGTCTTATTCTTCAAGTAAGGCGACAACGCTCTCTTGAAGAACTCTAGACTGATTTCCCTTCTGAGCCGCGTCTACGTGCTGTTTTCGAGTCATTAAGAAAATCGTCTCGCACGCAACCTCGACGATTTCCAGCCTCCTGAACAAACTGGTTTCCGAAAAGGCTACAGTACCATAGACCACAAACATACTCATCGGCAAATTGTGTAGAAGGCCGAAGAGTATAATCTGCCACTTTATCTTGCGTATATAGACTATGAGAAAGCTTTAGATTCCTTCGAAATTTGGGCGGTGCTGCAGTCCCTTCAGCGGTGTCAAGTGGACTGTCGGTATATCGAGGTGCTGAAATCTTTGTACAGCAGGGCTACGATGTCTATCCGAGTACAAACCCAGAGTACGAACCCAATTCAACTGCAGAGAGGTGTAAGACAGGGTGACGTAATATCCCCGATTCTCTTCACCGCTGCATTGGAAGACGTTTTCAAGCTACTGGACTGGAAAGGATACGGTATTAATGTCAATGGCGAGTACATCACTCACCTTCGATTTGCCGACGATATACTCTTATAGCAGAATCGCTGGAGGACCTAAGCACTATGCTCAATGACCTCAATAGTGTCTCGCAACGGATAGATCTTAAGATGAACATGAAAAAAACAAAAATCATGTTTAACGCTCATGTCACACCTATGCCTGATCACTAAGCTTAAAGTTGTTGACGAATATGTTTACCTGGGACAAATAGTCCGACTAGGTAAGACAAACTTTGACCGAGAGGTCAATCGACGGATTCAACTCGGCTGGACAGCGTTCGGGAGATTACGATACATCTTCTCGTCAGACATACCTCAGAACCTCAAAACTAGATTGTATAACCAGTACGTGTTGCCAGTGATGACGTATGGATCTGAGACGTGGTCCTTTACTTCTGGCCGGATGAAAAAGCTCAAGGTCGCTCAGCGAGCTACGGAGAGGGCTATGCTCGGAGTTTCTCTGTGTGATAAACTTAGAAATGAGAATATCCGCAGTAGAACCAGAGTAACGGACATAGCCCAAAGAATTAGTAATGCTATGGAAATATAGTAATGCTATTAATAATGCTGGGGAAAAAAGGTTCTCGAGTGGCGGTCTCGTACCGGTGGAAGTGCAGGGCGCCCTCCCCCCCCCCCTAGATGGAGTGACCTTGTAAGACATGCAGGAAGTTGATAGATACAGGTGGCTCATGACCGTGCTTTGTGGCATTCCTTGGGGGAGGCCTATGTTCAGCATTGGACTTGTGAAGGGCTGTAATGATAATGATGAAGTGAAGGCTGATTTACACGGGGTCAGTAACAGGCGCCAGTCCTGGCGCGGAGGACTGACTCACACAGTTTTCACGCAGTCAGTAGTCGTGGTAATTTTTTTAGGGTGTACGCACGTTATTGAAGTCAGTAGGCAAAAATATAAATTCACGGAAACGGCAGAATTTACAACGATTAAATTATTTATTGAGAAAATGTTCCTATCTGCTGTTGCAAAGAGTTGACGGAAATGTTAGAAGAGATATGTAAAAAGAAACGTCAAAAGTCTTTGGATAAGAAAATGGATAGACAACAGAAAAGAAACTGGAGGTTCTGCTTTGTTGTTGAATCAATTGAGATTTAAAGATCCTGCGGAATTCAAACTGGCTTTGAGAATAACACCGAAGAGTTTTAACGAATTGCTTCCATTGATAACAACCTCTATTCAACGTCAAGATACATTCATGAGAGATGCTTTGCCAGCCAAAATAAAACTCGAAATAACACTGACATTTTTGGCTTGAGGAATGTCATTTATGTGACTTTTATCGTGTATCGAAACTATCTATTTCTCATTTAATACCAGAAGTATGCTGGGTATACGCAGCATTGAAAATAAAAATTAGGGTAAGATAGTCAAAAATTAAAATTAGGATAACATAGGTATAATCAAAAAATTTACAGTCAGATAGAATTAAAATAGTTCTTTGAGTTTTCAAAAGCATGGTAAACTATGTTAGTTTCATTGTTACTTTCACGCCCAACTTCATCGTTATTCAAGATTCTATTACTGGCAGATATAATGATTATTTGCTTAGGCCCTCCATATCTAGGATTAATCGAAGTTCGCTCGGGGAAATCCCAAAGAGCTGCTGCTTGAGGCAGGCGTCTCAACAGGCTCAGACAGAACGCTTGTTCACGTTTCCATGACTATGTAATGTATTTTGATGAATATAATTTACATAGTTAATGTAAATAAATGTATCATGCATGCTTTCAGTAATATAAAAAAATGCGTTAATTTACCCTCATTTACTAATCTATATATTTTATAATTTTATGATACCACGCGATGTTACCCTACAATACTACGTCAGCGACTGTACAAGCTTGGTCGTTTAGACAAGGTTAATACCGCTGGCGCGGCTGGCGGGGGAGTGGACTGACTTCAAAATTATTCAAACAGGAATATTGAAGTCAGCACTGACGCGACTGTGCTTGTACTGACTCTAAATCCATTAACATTATGCTAGTAGAGGCTCAGCACTGACTTGCCTCGAATTTGAAACCAGTTACTGTATCCATTTGTAAATCAGCCATTATTGTTTCGAAATTACGTAAAACCTTTTTCCCACAAGAAACCTTTTTTTTTTCATCTAAGAAGTGACTCTTCAACTTAGGCACACTTGTGGAACCTCTTTTCAATTTGAAATTTTCAGCAGCTCGCTATTGTTCCATCAAAAAATGTCACTGACCACTGACAGGTATACACTAATGTTGCCATAAAAAGCAAAACAACGTTGCAATAATATACTTTCTGGTTCTAGTATTCAAAAACTTTACATGTCGACAGTTGTGACAAAATATTAATAACGCTTGTAGAAACGTCAACATTTTTTATAATTGGGTCACATAATTTTTAAAAGTCTATTAATCTTAATGTTTAAGGTATTATTGCAAAATCTGGATCTTTAGCTAGTAGCTTCGGAATTTCTTTTTTAAGTAGCCCTTAAACCTCCACGTGGTGTCGGCGAACAGTCGACAGAGCGTGACACGTCACGTATTATCGACCGACACGTTTTTCTTTATTAAATCATCATTTATTTACAAAATAATGAATGTCAAATATAGATGGTGATGTCCCATTTTATATCACAGCAAATAAGAAATGACTCTGGATCATCAACTTCTATTACGCGAACACACTTTTCTCAGGTTCGTAGAATGACACATTATTAAGAATAACTCAAAACCTACTGGTCAAATCTTGGTAAAATTTACATGATACCACATGAGAAGCATCAGCTTTCAAACAAAAAAAGAAACAACAAAATCGGCCCACCTAGAAAAAAGTTCCGAGGTACGACAAAAAACCACAGTCCAATTGAGAACCTCCTCCTTTTTTGAAGCTCGTTAAGGCTAAGTACATATGACTGCGCGAAGCCAAGTTGGAGCATTTACATGGACGGCATATGTACGCGCGGCAGTCTGGCATCAACAATTAACATTGCTTGAGAATGGACGTGGAGGAACAATTTGCTTATGGATTTTATATCGAAGGCTGAGACGTCGTAGAAGAAGACAGACGACTGGGTACATCATATTTTAAGTGAAAGACTTTCTTGAAACCTGTTTGTCACTTTATATACATAATATATCGTTTGTCCGGAAGAATACAGTATCATGTCAAAATTTGGCACTAACTGACTTAATAATACAGTTCGACTAAAAAAAGTACGTTCTACCTTTTAAATTAGGTCGTAAATTGCTTTCACCTTGAATGAACCAATCACGAAAGTTGCATCTATATCCCTCTCGCTCTTTCTGTTTCGCTAGAAAAAGGAAGAACGACACGTTCAGTGTAGACATGGGCAATGTGTATCACTTAAAAGAAAAGATTGATATGTATCTTTTGATCACTTGGATATGTATCACTCTTTTATATCTTTATATCCTTATGTATCAGTAGATCAAGCTCGCTTTCACGACACGCATCGCATTACGTTGCGTTGCTCACTCAGCGTGGCTCGCTTCGCTCAACTCAATCCTATCAGTAAGAGTGATAGCTAAGACCTATAGAGCTGTTTGCATTTTGCTTGGTCGTAACATTGTGTATCTTTCTGATATATTTGGCTGCTGTTTCTTTCTAGGTATTTATTTGTTATGATTAAAAAAATAAAGTTTTCTTATTTCTCAGACATGCAGGTTTCCTCACGATGTTTTCCTTCATCGCCGAGTACGTGGTAAATCAGCACTTAAAATTGCAATTAACAATAATTTCATTGGTGTCGGCGGGGATCGAACCCGAGTTGCTCGCGTAGTGTGAGACTTACAGCGAGCGCTATTATTGTGATGATTGATAAATATTAATAGGCACTTATTCGAAAAGTTTACTTAAATTTTTAGTTTAAAATAATAATTGAATTAATGCTTAACGTAAATAACATAGGTAGGGTAGGTATTGTTTGTATTTATTTGTAGAAAATATATATTATATAGTTTACCGATTTCCCTTCATACTTTTCCAGGCTTAGGACTGGCAACCTATTTACGTGCAGTTATTTCAGTTATAGAGTAAAATATTAGGTATACGTAGTTGAATTTAGTAAGTAAAAATTAGATTCTTAGGTTGGCGTATTTAGAAATCAGTAGCTATGTACAGTGATTTTTGGTTATTATTTACAGCATCATTTACATATGTACATATCGTTTTTACACATACTTATCCTTATTCAAATATCAGAGTTGCAACTTATGAATAGGAGTTGCGACACTTTTTTTGGCGTCAATCGTCTTCTACGATCATTCAGCGTATATCCCGCTTTCGAAAATATTCTCTCGCAAGGAACTGACGTAGCTACGAGATTGTGTCTTTTCAAAACATAATGAAATAATAGAGGATATATGTTCCTTCGAGCATGCCACCATTTTAAGGGGTCTTCTGTACGCTTTAAAAGCGGCTCCTGTAGGTATTTATCGAGTTCTACGATCCCCGCCGCTGTTGGGTTGTCCGGCGTTTGCCTAACCACTTCTTGGTCAAACTCAAACCAAATTGAGTGGTTAGGGCAAGATTCTGGTTGCACTGCTTCTACCGCTGGCATTATTGTTGTCCTTGAAGAACTTCGTCCAATTTTAAGTTTTAAGTCTTGCAGAGCCCTACCGTACAATCTCGAGTCCTGGAAACCCTTATTCTTAAAACGTGGATCCAATTGTAGATTCCGCGTTTAATATATTAGATTCGATGTGACCGAATCTATGATTGAGCTCCTTGTGTAAATGCTCGATGACATTTTTTATTTCTGGTATATGTTGATTAGCATCCGTATTTTGCACTTGCAGCCTGCTCCTAATGTGACCCAGCATAATTCTGCACAAAGGAATGACCTTAGCTAAAGATATATTTTTATCGCCGCTTACTTCGACTGTAACGTCATAAAACATTTTCAATACAGGGTGAACAGATTGAATTATCATCCATTCGTAATCAGTCAGTGCTAGGTCAGGTTTGATGAGGGCTATAGTGGCTATAATAGCATCTTTCGTCGAGCTAAACCGATGCAGCATGTCGTATGTAGAGTTCCACCTGGTGGCGACGTCTTGTTTTAGTTTGAGGATTGGCAGACATAGTCGTTTCTGCATTGTTATTAATTTTTGATTCGCTTGGGTACTCCGCTTAAAAAACTCGACGACGCTTTTCACCTTATTTAAAACTGGGGCCAATTGCTGCAACGCCGACTGGACGCAGAGGTTTAATGTGTGGGCAAAGCATGGAATTTGTCGCCAATCACCCTCCCTTATAGCTGCTGTAATGTTGGCGGCATTATCGCTGGCGATTGCGGTAATTTTATGATCAATATTCCATTGTCGCATGATGTTTTTCAGGAATTCAGTGAGATTTTCGCTGGTGTGCCTCTCGTTGTATTCCACACATCCCAGTAAATTCGAGTGCAATTTCGTGTCGTCTGATGTAGAGACAACGTAATGAGCCGTAATAGCTAAATATCTGTCATTGTTATCCGACGTCCAGCCGTCAGCAGTGGTAAGGCAGACTGCATTGGCATTTTCCATCTTATACCTCAATTTCTCTTCCTGTTTTTTTGCACATTTTGGGAATTAACGACTGTGACAGTATTTTCCTTGTTGGCAGCGTGTACCCTGGGCACAGCATATGTACAAATTTTTTAAATTCTTCGTCCTCCACGATACTGAATGGATAATAGCCATTTGCAATCATGCGCACAAGCTGCTCATCTAAAAGTTCCGCACGCCGAGGCGGCATAGATTTTGTGCTATGCGCATATTCCTTGATGGACGGCTGATGAGGAGGTAACTCAACGGAGGAAGGGCCAGAGACAGGGGCACTGGACGTGACAGATTCTGTCACAGTTGATGTTGCCGCTAGTGTATCCTGCGGGGCTTCTTGCAAACATGCCTGCTGCGTTGGCTGCCTTTTAGCTACGAGGGGTACTGTGGGGTGTTTACTTTTTAAATGTCTACTTAGGTTACCACAATTTCCAGCGGGTAAATTTAGCATGTTAGCACAATAAAGGCATTTTGCTTTTTTTGGTTCTACTTCCTCAAAATGATTCCACACTGCGCTTCGTTTTCGTGAACCCATTTTTTTTGTTAATAATACACACACATGCAAAATTATTTACACTTAAAATAAAGGAAACAGTCACTAACTGTACGTACAGAACAACAAACACTTTAAATTATTTACACTGAATGTCTTATTTACCTACATTTAAATTAAACAGTCACTAAGTGTACAAAACTACTTCAAATATTATCTATTCGATGCAACTAACGAAAACAATATTACACTCGTACCCGAACCGAGGTTAAGGTTGAACTAATGAATTAATGAAGCAAACTGATCTTTGTTTAATTTTGTAAATCACAAATCTTTTTTCTACTTTTTTTATGGATATAAACGACTACCAATTTCGGTTATAAAACTTTCTTAAAAACGATGTTTTTATAACCGAAATTAGTTTGCATTGTTTACTAAAAAATTTAAAGGAAAATTACACATAGGTACAGTTTAAACCAGCATAATACTTAAATGTTAACGTACCGCTTAATGACTTTAAGCCCTATGCATCAGTCATAGAGTTATCAATTTATCTTTTTGTGCCAACGTATTACAGTCTATAATGGTCAGACAACTCACTCTCTCCATCTTGCCAAAACGCGACAGAACATTCTAAATAGTGAGCTGCGAAAGAAACGTCTGTACTATTATTACTTTCCGAAATCTTCCTGGAATGGCCAGCCACACCGGCCGAGGTATAATACAAACCAAAGCAGTGTGCGCAATGTGCGACACAGATGTTAGATGGTCAAAAGATGCCTTGAGTGAATAAGTTGTAAAGATATACTGATATAGTGATACATTCGGATGCGGATGGATATAAAGAGTGATTGATGGAAACAGATTGATTCATATCTTTTGTATCTATCTCTCCTGAGTTACCCATGTCTAGTTCAGTGTTGCTCCTGTCCTTGCACTAGTTTGACCCGTATTGTTATTCGAAACAGAGTATTATCTATTAATGATACATACATTCGGTTTTACCACAAGAAGAAAAGTGTATTATTGTGATTTCTTGCTGTATTTTTCTTTAAGTAAGTATTTTATTTTCCAAATCCTATTTACAACAGAGTTATAACACGAAAATTAACCTGTATTCTTCACTATAACGTAACGCTTCGTGTAACCCGCATTTAAATGAACAAAGTATTATTTTGAGTTGTGCCTATGATCTATAAAAAGTTTTGTGTATTTTTTTGTTTGCTACTTTATTCACCTTAAGTTGTATCTTATTCAAGTATTATTACAAATTGTGTCTGTGTTCATTTGAATTTTAGTTGATGTTAATGTACCAAAGGTAAAAACTACGATGTTCTGTTTACAACTATTTAATTTAGATAGCAGTTTGTCTAATTATGACTATGATCTTCAGTTTCATATTCTTTATTTCAGAATGATACTACAGAAAAGACTAGATTATATTCGAAAATGTATAGTAGCACAGGGTGAGTCATCAAATAACTGTCAATATAATTTGAACTCATCCGAAAATCTTGATACTAGCTTAGATGAACAAGGCCCTGGCTACATCGAATGTTTAGAAAATGTTGATTTCGCATGCGAATCTGATCCAAATGGTAAGAATAGTATTTTTTATAATAATTATTAATAACTTTAACTAGTGGTTTTGCCGAACACAAGATCGAACACAAGAAGGCGTTGTATTTTATCTGGATCTATTCAGCCATTCTGATGTTAATGAGTAATACCTAAACATCCTAACTTTTACATAAATATAATATTATTAAAATAATCATTATTTTTCTTTTGATCAAAGTACGAGTAACATGAGGAACCAAAAATATTGCAATGACACGTTTTTCTAGTTGTTCCACTATGCCTCATTTATCAAGTTCATTGTTTTATTTATTTTCCTTATTACAGAAAATGTACAAACCAATTTGATTGAAAATATAAATGCTCCAGATCATAGTATTCCAGCATCCAGTGCTATTGAAAATTGTTTGAAAAATGATGCAAATGTTACTGATATTTTTGGTGAGTATATATTTGAATGATTTTTTAATCTGAAGGGAGGTTACTATTCCTTCTTTTATTTATATTTAGGTATATTTTTATCATTTAAATTTTTATTTTTATTTAGGTATATTTTTATCATCTAAATTTTTATTTTTATTTAGGTATATTTTTATCATTTAAATTTTTATTTTTATTTAGGTATATTTTTATCATCTAAATTTTTATTTTTATTTAGGTATATTTTTATCATTTAAATTTTTATTTTTATTTAGGTATATTTTTATCATCTAAATTTTTATTTTTATTTAGGTATATTTTTATCATTTAAATTTTTATTTTTATTTAGGTATATTTTTATCATCTAAATTTTTATTTTTATTTAGGTATATTTTTATCATTTAAATTTTTATTTTTATTTTAGGCATATCTAACACTGAAGATCTAAGTGAAGCCGATAAAAGTGATGGACCCGATTTCGATTCAGATGACAGCGTTAAAGATCCAAACTTTAGACATAGATCAGCGTCAATATCATCAACGGATTCAAGTTAATCTTCCAGCTCCAGCTCCTCCAATTCCAGTTCATCATCATCAGCTTCTAGTACACGCTCACATTACGCCCACCGCGAAAACATTCCACCTGCATTACACGTCTCTAGCATCAAAATCATTCCGCCTGCAGACTTTCAGATTGAAAACTTAGATTTGAACAAAAAACTAACACGTAAACGATAACGAAATATTAACGACTGGAAATCGGAAGTCGCGAAACGTTTAAGAAACACAGGTCAAAGCTACACATCAAAAAAACTAAAAAAAGTCATTCCAGCTAGAAAAGTAGGGCCACCATGTGGTGAGAAGTGTCGTCTAAAATGTTCTGCAAATGTGTCAGAAGAAGAAAGACAGAACATCTTTCATGAATATTACAATTTGGGCAACATAACGATGCAGAGACAATTCATTATAAACAGCACTACTACAATTAATCCGAAATATAAATACACAAATGCGGAAAATCCTAGGCAGAGCAACAATGCATTTTATTTTTCGGTTCAAAATAATAAAGTACGTGTTTGTAAAACGTTCTTTAAATCCACACTTGCCATAAATGATCGTGTAATAAGGACTGCCTTTGACAAGCGTATACCTACAATGAGTAATGTTGTAGCCGTAGATGGTAGAGGAAAGCATGGAAATCATGCCAAAATACCGAATATTATTAAATCCGAAATAAGGGAGCACATACAATCTATTCCGACTATGGACAGCCATTACTGTCGCAGTAATACTAATAAGCTTTATATTGATGGCAGTAAAACATTGATTGATCTCCACAGAGATTACGTTAAGTTATGTCAGACAGAATATAAGCCATATGGTAACTATGTTTTGTATAGTCATATATTTAATAATGAGTTTAATATTGCCTTTTATTCACCTAAAAAAGATAGGTGTGATACTTGTGAGGCTTTCATGAATGCTACCGGGGAAGAAAAACAACGTCTTACAGTTGAGTATGATACA